AGGGGATTGCAGTCCAGCAGATTTTCTTCCGTCCATGAAAAAACCTTTACTGTGACCGTATCTTCCCATCAGACAAACTGTCATTTTACAAACAAGAAGATTTTGGTCCATAGAAAACACAATGCTAAATATAGCATTTTTTAGTAGCAGAAAAAGAATACTGAAGTTTCATATTCAATTTCATATTGAAATGTTTCCTTCCTTTTCCCATCTTTCTTTAAAATACCGCATAGAGTGAGGCTTCCTTGTAAAACTTACCAATCACACCCTTAACTAGCGTGTTTTCATAAGCCTAAAGGGTAAAACTTCATGACAATAGATCTGGGCTTTTTGCACCCATTTGGTTTTGTCGTCAAAGTGCCATGTGCTCTTTCAATTCCAAGCTATTGGCCACTGGAAAAGCCCAGCGAGTTTTTCAGTAAATTGTACAAAAATTTAATCATGTCGGACCCTTCTTCATCTTCACATATTCCATATATCCGAAGGTTGTCTCTGCGTACTCGGCCTTCCTGCTCGAGGTCTAGTTTGACGCTCTGTTAGCCTCTTAATTAACAGTGACGCCACCTGTAGCACCTTCTCAGTCTCTTTGATTCACCCCGCTGCCTCTTCCACTCTAGCATCAATTCTTCTCAAGTCACGTTTAATATCTGCATATTATTCGTTATCTTTTCTAAAGTCACAAAGTTCTTTCAGGATATTCATGTTGGGTGGGTTCAGCTGTATCCATGCCCCATGTGACTAACCTTAGCTCAGGAGAGTAGCTCCTACCCGCATGGCTTTTCTCTGTTTCCTTTTCTGTTAGAGTTGTGACTCTCATACTTTGCATTTTCAAAAGCAATCTCCACTATTATCAAAAAGATTACCAAAGGGGTTGTTCACACCAAATAGGAAAGAGACAAATAGACTGTCATTCTCTTCAAATCAAATCAAAAAATCTAATCAAAATTTATTTCTATAGCACATAATCATACAACAAAGTTGACCAAAGTGCTTCACAGTCGGTCAGAGCAATAGCATAAGACAGAATAAAAAGAAACAGTTAAAAGGAGGGCAGGAAACAACATGACAATTGTTTGAAACAAAAACTAGCCACAAAATAACATACTAATTTGAATCAAAAGCCAGACTAAAATAATAAGTTTTAAGATGCAATTTAAAAGACTTGATGGACTCGGAGGAACAAATATAAGGAGGGAGGTTATTCCAGAGTCTGGGAGCTACGACAGCAAAGGCCCGATCGCCTCTGGACTTCAGAAGAGACCTCGGTTGCATCAGGGGCATTTGATTGGAAGATCTAAGTACCTAATTAGGGATATACAAATGAAGGAGTTCGCATAGATAGCTGGGAGCCAAATTATTTAAAATTTTAAAAGGTAAGCAAAAGAAATTTGAAATTGATACAATAATCAACAGGGAGCCAATGTAGGTTGGCTAAAACTGGTGAGATGTGGGCATAATTTCTAGTACCAGTAAAGAGACGTGCAGCTGCGTTTTGAACTAACTGGAGCCGGTGAATAGAGGAAGATGGGAGGCCTGAGTAGAGAGAATTACAGTAGTCTAATGTGGACGTGATAAGAGTGTGAATGAGCTTTTCAAGATCCTTCAAAGGGAGGTATGGCTTTGCTTTAGATATCTGACGCAGCTGCTAGAAACTGTTTTTCGCCATAGCTGAGATCTGAGTTTAAAACAGCTGTCCGGGAAAACACCAAGGTTTTCTAGAATTCTCTTGCAGGTGGAACCAGAAATGCCCGTTTGCAGATATAACAGCTGAACATATCCGTTGCATTCTTTCTACATTAGAAATCAAATATTCTTCAGAAAGTTCTTCCCATATATGTGGAAGTTCCCATAAATGTGTGACATTTGTAGGTTGCTTTGCTTTCAATCTTCTGTCAATTTCACCCCAAACCAGCTCAATGAGATTTCAGTCTGGAGACTGCGCTGGCCACTCCATGTTTTCAAGCTTACTATCTTGTTCTTTTTTTTCTGAGGTAGTTCCGACATAGCTTGGACTTGTGTTTTTGGTCGTTATCTTGCAGCAGAATGAACCCCTGACCAACTAAGCGCAACTCAGAGGGTATTGCATGGTGCTTGAGCGCCTTGAGGCGACATTTGTTGTGATTTGGCGCTATATAAATAAAATTGAATTGAATTGAATTGAATTGCTGCAGAATGCTGTAGTAGGGTGCCTCTCCCTCTGTACAAGTCACCAACCCTGGATCCAAGCGAAACAGCCCCAGACCATCACGCTTCCTCCTCCATGTTTGACAGTTGATGCCGCACACTGTGGAACCATCCTTTCACCTACTCAACGTGCTTCGTTACATTTAGCCGTTACACCAGGTGCGTACCATGACTGAGTTCATCTGAATCACTTCTACTGTAGCTGAATATAGTACAGTATACTGCAAGGACAGAAAAAATGAACTTGAACAGGCATGGCACAGATCACCTAATGTAGGTTTCTTGTATAAGAGCCACTACTGACAGCCTGGTTAGCTGTGGAGGATGAGGGATGCCAGGGACAATGCCAGATTTTGCTACTCAATTAATAAAAATAAAAGAATGCAATGATTGAGGCCTGCAGCTAGAAGGAGCCTAATGCCAGTATAAGGACATCAATTTATAGGCTTTTCAGGATATATATTAAGGATATAAATTTAATACATATCCTAATCAAGTTAAATACGAATCTGACTTCAGC